CCCCCCCCCCCCCCCCCCCCCCCCAAGATTTCTGTACCCATAGCAGGGCACTGGGCTGCAGCTGGGCCAGACCAGCTCCAGGCAGAAGCCACCTCCACAGCCAGGCTGGATCAGCTCTGGACAGGAGCTGCCTTCACAGCCCAGTAGGTGGGACCTGGCACAGGAGGGAGCACTGTGCCTCCATAGCCACCAGTGTGAAGTGCCCCCTGCCTGCCTGCTAGTCCTGCAGCAATGGGGGTACAACACCACACCATTGCCACACCTCATCATGACACAACGCTCCCTCCCATATCAAGTCCCACCTACTGGGCTGTGAAGGCAGCTCCTGTCCAGAGCTGATCCAGCCTGGCTACAGCCCTGCACCAGGCTGTGAGCACAGAAATCTTGGGGGGTGCATGCCACCCCTGCCTTCCCCACACACTCGCTCTTTCTCACACACTGGAGAGCTGGAGGTGTGGGGCAGTGGGTTAGGAATGAGAGGGCACTGGCAGGGCTGTGGTTGGGAGTGAGCATGGGCAGGGCACCAGCGTATCAGGGCTACTTAGCACCACAAAGCAGGGGGGCAATTACAGCTGGACCAAGAATTAATCCAAGAATTTGCGATATTTTTTTTTTTAAACAGGGAAAACCAGAATCTCTGAATTGTGGAAAGATGATCAGTCCCTTGTCTCTAGAGAATGGAAACTTTGTTACCTTGGTAGTTCCACCCCAAGACAACAACAGGCAGTGTATACAATTCCACAGTTGGAACCAATGAGCTGGTCAGATAAATAGTCTATTCTGGTAACATGCACCCTCTCCATAAGATGTGTTTTTCCTTAACTGGCCTCTCTAGCTGGTGTGTCTGTAGGAGATCCTGTACTACGTACTGGCAAGCCTCTGTCAGTGGAGCTGGGCCCTGGCATTATGGGAGCTATTTTTGATGGTATCCAGAGGCCCCTGTCAGACATCAATGCTCTGACCAAAAGTATCTACATTCCCAGAGGTGTCAACGTGTCAGCTCTTAGCAGGGACATCAAGTGGGAATTCACACCTTCTAAAAACTTACGGGTAGGTTACAACAGTTGCAAAATCATGCTGTTGGGCTGGGGCACAAAGTGTAGAGGCTATATGGCTCCCAGGCTATTTATTTGAGAGGGTGGGTATAATTATTTATAGGACATTGGTGGACTGCAGAGGGATCATGAAAACAGGTAATGAATGTCTGTGCCTTTTAATGCAGGGATGTAAAAGATACAGCCCACACAGCTATGTCATCTGGCCCCATGCAGGACCAGTCCAGGACCTTCCCATGTAGCACCTTCTCCAGAGTGCACTGGATCCTGTGGGCAGGGGCAGCCAAATGCTACATCCAGTGCAGTCCCAGACCAGCCAGAGCAAGTGCCATATGCACTGGATCCAGCATGTAGGGGTGGCAGGGGTGCTGCCCACATGTCATTCATTCAGCTGTTGAGGATATAGGCCACTCATCTGGCCTGCAGGACCAGATTAGTTTGACACCCCTGTATTAATGTAAAGCTTTTGGTACCTGGGTGTCTTTTACAATGCAACAGAGGGTGTTAATTCCAATAATTCCTTTTGATCTCTTCAGTAATAACAAAGTTGGTCTGGACAGGGAGGCGAGGGAATCCCTTGTATTACACAGTACTTGGACTCCTGCCTTAATGTTGTAACCTTTGCATATAATGATAACCATTCTTGAATATTGATAGCATGATTCTGTTGCAGATCTGGTAAATGATACAAATATAGGCTACTGTGTTGTTAGTATATTTAGGGAGGAGATGCTCTTTGTGCTGGACTTAAACCTGTGTACTGCATTTTATGGAGTCCTGGTGTTAAACATAGATGCTCTAAAAATGAAGTGTCTGTACATGACAGATATTTGTTCTGATTCTAGGTTGGCAGTCACATCACTGGTGGAGACATCTATGGAGTGGTGAATGAAAACTCCCTCATCAAACACAAAATCATGTTGCCCCCAAGAAACAGGGGTACAGTAACATACATTGCTCCTCCAGGGAACTATGATGCTTCTGTAAGTTTGCTAAACTTCAGTGCATGGTGTTCAGCAGGTGCATGTGCCTTTCTTGCCATATAGATCTAGTTAAAATAGATGCAGGTCACCTGCTGCCAACAACACTTGCCTGAGTATCTTTTGAAAATGAACTGCTATTTGTTTATGGTTCAGCTGGACCAATTTAGATGTGCAGTGTTAGCTGTCCCACAGTGAAGTCATGCACTTCCCCATGTATGTGGGGAGTTCAGTGGCATTTTGTAAGTACCGTGCCGTATGAGAGTTTATTTGAAGCTGAGGCTTCATACTGCTGCTTGACTTCCCTGTGTGTACAGTGCTTTGGGGAAGTGGGCTTCTGACAGGCTGTGGACAGAATATTGAGGTATTTGAAAAGTCTTTGCAGACTATCCAGATATTAATGGTGGTAATTGTTGATGGGTTAGTTCCCATTGGCTCAGCATTCAGCTGTTCACTTACATGAGTATCTGCTACCTTCTGACAGGATGTTGTCTTGGAGCTGGAGTTTGAAGGTGTGAAGGAGAAATTCACTATGGTCCAGGTCTGGCCTGTACGACAAGTCCGTCCTGTTACTGAAAAGTTACCAGCCAATCACCCATTGCTGACTGGCCAGCGAGTCCTAGATGCACTCTTTCCGTGAGTACCACCTGCGATTTTGTAGAGTATTGCTCCCATGAGAGTAGAAAACTTAAGCACTTTAGCTAAGTATGATCATCATGATGCACCAAAACAAAGAGGAAAACTTAAAAATAAAACACAGTTACCTGAGGAGGCTACAAGTGTTACAAGTCAAGGTCTTTATCACTGAAAATGAGACTGGTTTAGATCATCAGGAAGACCAGAAGATAAGCACTTAATTCAGGGGGCGGCTGAGGGAAAAGATGGAAGCTGGAAAGAGGATTTGTTTAATGAAACGTTTTAAAGTAAGGGCTTGTTTTTTTGCTGTATAAACATCTGCAGCTAGTAGGGACTTCAAGGAGTTGATGCCTGGAGCACTTGTTTGTTTAAAATACAGACTTTAGTGCCTGACTTGGAGGGAAGTGAAGTGTGACAACTTTGGCCCTAATGTGTATCATCACATAACCATCATGATCTCAAGTTGTAGGTATTTAGCCTGTGCATTCTGGAGGCTCCTGTCTACACAAAAGAGAGGAGATGTACTCTTTTGGAAGTACCTGGCTAGATTTGTACAGGTTTCATACTTTACTAACAGCAGAAAGCCATGTTGGTGGAGGCCAGCATATTCTCTCACGTTTCAACAAATAATAAAAATGTTCTGGATCAGAAGCAAAAAGAAATCCCTGTGTTGGCCTTGCCTTTGTGCAGGCAAGTGGAATGAGGTGGCTTTGGAGTGCCAAGAAGCAAATGATTTAAATGTATAATTAAGAGAACTCTCTTCTGACATTAAAATAAACTATAGTCTCTCCTTACTCAGGTGTGTACAAGGGGGTACAACTGCTATCCCTGGGGCATTTGGCTGTGGAAAGACTGTGATCTCACAGTCTCTCTCAAAGTATTCCAATAGTGATGTCATCATCTATGTAGGATGTGGAGAGCGAGGAAATGAGATGTCTGAAGTACTGAGAGACTTTCCAGAGGTTAGTGTGAAATTTCCTAGAAGCCAAGTGTTTTGGGAAGGGTCACTACTGTGGCGCTATTGTACTCATTGGTACAGTGGCTTGATGCAGTAGGTGGTGTTGGCACTTCACCTGTTGTGGGTTGGATTTCTTGTGCCTTTTTGGCACCTGAAAATGACTTGGCAGTTGATTTCAATGTCTGCTCCTGAAGTCATTACCTACCTGTGCATTTATCCAACTTCTTTTTTAAAATAAGGCCAAAACACGCCATGAAGGTCTAATTGCCTATCTAAAGAGAATCTTTTTCTCAAAGTTGTTGACGGGGTGGGTTGATTTCAGATCATTGATTTAAATAATGATTTAAATCACAGATAAAACTATTATTTAAACCATTGATTTAAATCAAGTTTCCCACTGATACTACTTCACATATTTCTTAAACAATCGTGCAGATCTGATCACTAAAAGATGTCAATTTAAAACTCAATACAGTTTTTTTTACAATGTCTGTTGATACAACAAATGATGAAATATAAGGCAAAATAATGAAAATAGTCTCACATTAATAATACCAACAATGAAAATTATCTCTGTGACTGCAGAGGAAGCTACTGCTGTGAAAAATTGGCTTAGCAACTGAAGGAACCCTGTTTCAAGGTGTCTAGCTAATGATTTCCACCAATTCAGGGAATTGTTCAAAACTTCATCAGTAAACATGTACTGTTTAAATGGCTCCCCTCCAGCCCTGAAATTTATTGTGACTGGCATAACCGAGGAGTGATTTTTGATATGCCCATGTCACGGCAGCATCATCTTCTTCAGAAGTTAGGCGTCTACCTTTATCTGGGGTTGAGAATGAAGAAAGAAATACCCAACCAGAAACAATGTCTCTTGAAGTGCCTTCCGAATTTTGAGAACATCAGCAATGCAGCAACAATTTCTCTGAAGTTTAAGGCTATGGATATAGGTTTCAGTATACTGAGCATATTCTCTACATTCCTCTTTAATCCAGTGTTAGATACTTGGGATGAGATACTTTCATCTATTTTATCATGGTTTTTTTTCACAATTCTTTATGAAAATAAGCCAGTTAATAAATTGTTCAAAACAATCAACCACAGAATTCCATTGAACATCTTGAGGGAGAATTAATTTGGATCCTCCTATTCTCTTCAGTGAAGCTGAAGCAAAGTGGCTGTTATGGAAGTATTTTGCAACTTCAGCAACATTTTCTTTTATACCTGGAGAAGTACTTAAGACTTTGGCTAAAAGATGCATTAAATGGGCACTGCAGCCATATGTTAAGGAGCAGCCTTCTGTTTTTTCTTCTAAGTATCTTCTCATCTTTGCCACGTTTGCAGCATTGTCTGTGACAAAACTGCATGTGACAGTTCAATTTTTGTTCACAGTTTATTACAGTGTTCACTGCCACTTCTTTTAAATAGTCTGCTGTGTGGGCATTTCCCAGTGTTTCTGAAAGATATGCAACCCCATCTTCTGTTGTGACACATGCGCATATTACTGGATCGTTGTGTACATTGCTCCATCCACTAAGGCTTAAACTGGCAAATTTCCCCTCAGTATTTCTTGCATACTGTTCAAGTTCCTTCTCATACACTGTATCTAGCAACCTTCCACCAATGTCTGCTCTACCACATGGAGTACCTGGTCGTAAGGACTCAGCCATGTCAATGAAGTGTTTATTGTTAACAGTGCGAAAAGGAGAATTTGTGGCATAAATGAACCGAGCAATCTTTTCATCTATGGTGTCTTGTTAGTATTTTCTGGTCCTTACTACAAACCCATCCAGAGTGGTAGTCGCACTGGATGATGGAAATCTTTTGCTTGCTACTGTTACTTCGTTGTCTGAAATACGTTCAGTTGCAGCACTGCTGCTAACAGTACCAACTGATGACTCTGAAGTTGCTGCAGATAGGTAGTCAAAGTCTCTTATGCTTAAATGGAATCCTGAGACAAAAATGATTTTTGAATAGTCATTCTTCTCAGTTCTTCTCACTCTATTACTCAGTCATCTGATCTACATCCTTACTGAAAAAATATAAATTCCACAAAAAGCTAAGACTGACTGCACTTTGAGTGCACTTTAATTTTGGAGTAAGCCCCATTGAACTTACTAGCACTTCTGTTTTTTGAGAGAACCAGTATAGGATGGGGGGGTTCCCTTGAGAAAGCTGAGTTATGCTGAAGTAAAATAGGGAATAGATTTATGGCATCACCATTATGGTCTGGGGCCACGTCATGATTTTCCAAAATAAAGGACGTGTGTTATGTAATAGAAAATAAGAAAATGACACCCAGTGGCAACTGGCAACTCTAGATTTCCCTTGCTGCACCGTTCTGTACTGTAAACTTGGATGATATATTCTAAACCTAGTTAACTAATTAAGCTAGACTTTTTTTTTTCTCTAGCAACATCCAACATAGCAAATGGCTTGGGAATTTGCTTGTTAAATCACACTTATACTAAAAGGCACAGAGAGAGTCTTGAAGAATGATGTATTGCGAAGTGAATTATTTTATTTACTAGCCAGTTGATCCACATTGTTTTTCAGACACATCCACATCTTCATCCGCATCATTTTCTCCCAATAAGCAGTTTTCATTATGACGTTTCATTCTTGCAACTAGGCCCTGCATCTCATTCTTCCACGATTACACTTGACACATTTTTCCTTTTTCACCCAGGGAAGGAATTTCTTCAGAATATTCCCAGATAGGGTCTCTCCTTATACCCAGAAGCTATGACAGTTTTTCTGGCAAAAGTGTGGGGGAATATAGGAAACTGAATAATGTCATCCATTTTTCTTTCCAGTCCACTCCACTGTTCCTTTCTACTCTGTCTCTGTGCTTTCCTATATTGTCTCTCTGTCTTTAAGACAGTGTCTAAACAAACTCCTCTGTCTTGGTTGGCCCAGCTTCACCACTACATAAACACAGAACAACAATCCTAACAAATACCAGAGTGGAAGATCACCACTTAAGCCAAATGAGGATCTTGCCACAAGAATAAATGTGAAATTATCAATGACTTTAAGTGGATATCAAGAAGTCTGTAACTCTGGAACAGCCTTCTAAGAGCTGTAGTGAGGGCAATAAATCTAACTCATTTTAATAACATGCATGATCAGTTTAGAGAAGGGATTATAGGATGTCATCACCTGCTACATAGCAAGATACTGTATTTGATGAGCCAGAAGGTCTTTCCCTAGAATATATCCCTCTTTGCAGTGCAGTTGCCAGGATGAGTTAGTTTTTCTTTTTTCTAGAAACTGTACAACATCGCAACATGCTGAAAATAATATATATATTATTTCTCATCTCTTAGCTCACAATGGAAGTTGATGGCAAAGTAGAAAGCATTATGAAGAGAACTGCTCTGGTGGCTAATACCTCCAACATGCCTGTTGCTGCTAGAGAGGCCTCTATTTACACTGGTAAGTTACAGGGGAAGTGGAGGCTGCATGGGACTGATGACTACTTACACTCATTTCTGGTTCCAGGCTTACTCTCAAAGGTTGCTGAACATCAGAATGCAATTTTTCTAAACTGTTCGTACCCCAGTCAATGTATCATGACACTTTTTGGTCTTCTGTTAATCCACAGCCCAGGATTTGCATTTGACATTATGCAGATGATAATGTCTCTTGAGAGTGCATCAGGTCAGATCTTGTGATTTTTATGGTATTTGTTTCTGTAAAAGTTGGCTCATTCTGGAGAGTCAACTCTCCTATGATCTTTGGCATTTTTCACAGACAATGGTACTTTTACCGTAACTGTGTAGATCTACCAAAGTAGATGGTAGATGGCTCCCTTTTGTTCAGTAGGTGTTCCTTTTGTTTTATGTTGGAGTTCTGAACCACAAATTTATTTACTGAATGCTGTTCAGGCAAAACCTGATCTCCCCTAAAAGTGCAACGTGTCAGGCTAAGATGTGGAGGATACACTTCTTTAGAATTGAATACCCTTCTCTGCATACAGTCCGTTGCACAATTGCAGAGGCAGACATACAGATAAAGCACAAGTGACTGAACAACACTGTGCTCATCCCATTGAAGAATGGGCCCTGGGAACAGATTGCACTCTAAGAACACTGGAGAGAGGGAAAGGAGACCAAAGCCACAATGAAGCTCTTGGGAGACCAGAGAAAAGTTCTCTGCATTCTTCACCATCAGAATCTTAATTAGTACTGCAGTTATTGATGAGGTTTCCTGGAAGGGGGCGAGGGGAGGGGTTAGGGAGGGCTTGTGAATCTGAGTCTTGCCTGAATTGTCAATGCTGTTTTCCCTTGTCTCTGTTTTAGGAATCACTCTGTCTGAGTATTTCCGGGACATGGGCTACCATGTCAGTATGATGGCTGATTCCACTTCCCGATGGGCTGAGGCCCTCAGAGAAATTTCAGGGCGTTTGGCTGAGATGCCAGCTGGTGAGTAGTTTAGCTTCCGACTCCAGCCTTGGGAATAGTTATTTAAAGCTGCAGTCATCGTCTGACTTGGCTTTGTGTTGTTTGCAGACAGTGGTTATCCAGCCTACCTTGGTGCCCGCCTGGCCTCTTTCTATGAGCGAGCTGGCAGGGTGAAATGTCTGGGGAACCCTGAGAGGGAAGGCAGTGTCAGCATTGTTGGGGCGTAAGTGTTAAGCTTTCTGGTTTTACCCAGTTTGCAGTTCAAGCTGTTTGCTTTGTAGGGCAATGCCAGGTGCCCCTCCTTGTCTGTCTGGAAAGTTGCTTTGCCTTGAGGAGCAGCCAGATGAACAGATGAGGAGAATCTACAGGGCTAAGGGACCAGAACCAAGAAAGGAGACTTTCTTGGTATACATATAAAAGGCTTTTATAACTACCATGATATGCTTTGGGGACTTCAGGTAGGGCTTACAGTGTAGGCAGGGAAAGGTCTCATGGGTGGGACAGGAAGGCCCTTCTATGTACCAAGACAGCTTAAATAGAAGAAGGTCTGAAGCAATCAGAATGGGGACTTAAATGGAAAGGGTTGGGGGGGTGGGGGTAGGAGAAGTAGGGTATGGGCATGGTGTGATGCAAGATGAGCTTATGCATGCAGGGAGAGTTGCAGGGGTATAGAGCCCTGACAGCTGTGACAAGTCTTGAATCCTTTAAATGACTCCCCTGCATCCCAGTGAAGGAGGGGACTGGCCTAGTGAAAAAGACAGGCAAAGAAAAATCTTTAGAACACTTGTAGATGGCTTGCTAGTGAGCAGGAATGGCTGTCAGCCTGGGGTAATGGTATAGCTTTGTACATGGTCAGGCTGACTGGGAGTTCTAGAGAGATTGCATCCATCTTCACTCAGATGTCACCACACACCACATACACCACTAGAAGGGGATGCTTTCTCTCAACTACATCAAGCTTCCAGGAAAGCTAAGTGAATTCTGAATACCCTGAAAAACTGAATTTTTCTCAAGTGTTACAAAGTGCAGTTGCTTTCTAACTTGAGTGGCTGAATTGGCTTCCAGAGCCCTGAGAATCCTTGCAGAAAGGAGTGCACTTATCACAGAAAATCATCTGCATAACAACCTGGTACTATAGGTTGCGGTGTGGGGGGACATTTTCTATTTCAGGAATAGTCTGTTCTGTCCCTGCCTTTCCCAGACAGTCTTGTACTGTAGCCTTAAGAAGTCCTCAGTCTTCCTTTCTCCAACCTCCTTCTCAGCTCAGTGAACTCTGCATCACAGCCTGGAGCTACTGAGGCTGGAATGGGATGTTAGGCAGATCCTACCAGCCAAACAACTGGATATGCAGTGGGATTAGTTCTCCCTGTGGTGAGAAGTTGTTAGTTGATCACTAATTTGGACTTGGTTTTGGAAGTGTCATATTCCTCTTCTGACCTTGTTTTTTTGGCGTCTAAGCACATTGCTTGGAGCTGGCATTAAAAATGCAGGTATTCTGCTGCCTGTTCTGCACCCTTGACTCCTGGGTCCTGTCCTGTACCAAAACCTGCTTGAACAGTCATATTTTGCTTAAACCACTAAGTGTAAAACCAGAGTCAGTGTTCTACTTCCTGCTTTTCACAGATCTCCTAACCTTGGTGTTTTGTTGAAAGTAGAAAGGGTAGGGGGAGAGGGAGTGATAACTATCCTGGCTTCTTCCCCACATAGAGCTGTGTGGTTATGTTGAAATTTCATCCTAGCTCTGCATAAGCACTGCTGACCACTGCTGCTTTTCTCTCTCTGGTCAGTGTATCTCCTCCTGGTGGTGACTTCTCTGATCCTGTCACATCTGCTACTTTGGGCATTGTTCAGGTACGTTCCAATTGGTGGCAGTCTGCTTAGAGTTTCATTATGGCTTCTCAAATAGGGCTTGAAATGAATGTAGGGTACCAGAACCACTTTCACTCTGTGACCATTGTGGTGTGTGGAATTGTCCTGCAGCATCAAAGCCTGCCCTTGTGAAATGTTCTGAACACAGGCCTAAGAAGTTACTGCATGTGGAGAGGTAGTGAACTCTCTCTTCAGGCTTCTGTAGGCTGATGATTGCTCAGGATTATTCACAGACTCAGGGACATTCTGGTCCTTTGAAAGTGACAGTGGGGGTGGTAGCCTTCTGCTAGGATAGGATGGCATGAGAAACGGCTGCAGTCCTCCTGGAGGAGCACTTAATATTTGGGGCTTTACTGTAGAAACTCCTAGTTTAAAGAGGACAAGGCTGCATATCTTGGGAAAAGAGTTGTTTTGGATTCTGGCATGGAGTTAAACCCATGTAGTTTTGCAAATATTGGGGCTGACCTGGGGCAATCTCAATCAAGACTGTGTAGTGCTGGGCAAATGTCGCAAAATGAACATGGAATTGGGTACATCACTAGAGTTGACTTATAAGAGGAGGGGCTCTGTCTGAGGACCCCTGCTATAGTGCAGTTGGGGTAGTTAGGGGAAGGTTAGTCTTCAAAGTCTTTTCTGGAGGAATGAGGTGGCTTTAGCTGTATTTGCTAATGCAGAAACATGGAAAATGCAATGCATTTAAGTACTTCTGAGAGGAAGATGCACTAACCAGTCTGGCTTTGGTAGGTTTTCTGGGGCTTGGATAAGAAGCTGGCTCAACGCAAGCACTTCCCGTCTGTCAATTGGCTGATCAGTTACAGCAAGTATACACGTGCTCTGGATGAGTATTATGACAAGCATTTCACAGAGTTTGTTCCCCTACGGACCAAGGCCAAGGAGATCCTGCAGGAAGAGGAGGACCTGGCTGAGATTGTGCAGCTTGTGGGAAAGGTGAGTGACCAGCATACCAAAAGGGGATGCGCAAGAATCCTAGGAGATGCTTGGAGGGATTATTATAATATTATTCCAGACAGGCTGGTTAGCATGCCCTCTGCCAGGGTGGGTAACTACTGGTGTGCCAGGCCATGTGGAGAAAGGAAAAGAAGTGATGGAAATGCTAGACTTGTCCTGATTCTAGCCTTTAGTCTTGATTCCAGGCTGTTCTCTTGCTTTGTCATGGGAACCAGAATGCAGTTTCAGAATAAGATAGACAAGAATGTACCCTCAGCAAATTTGTGAATGACACCAAGTTGGAGGGTAGGGCTAAGATTCAGAGAACGTAACAAATTGGAGGATCGGACCAAAAGAAATCTCATGAGGTTCAGTAAGGACAAGTGCAAAGTCCTGTGCTTAGGATGGAACAGTCCCATGCACCAGTACAGGCTGGGGACCGATTGGCTAAGCAGCAGCTCTGCAGAAAAGGACCTAAGCCAGCAGTGTGCCCTTGTTGTGAAGAAGGCTGTGGCATACTGGGCTGCATTAGTAGAAGCATTGCCAGCAGATTGAGGGGAGTGATTCTTCCCCTCTCTTCAGCACTGGTGAAGCTACATCTGGAGTACTGTCTAGTTTTGAGCCCCCCACTACAGAAAGTGTCCTGGTTTGTGTGGTGTATATAGAGGTGATTGCATAATATCTCAAAATTAGGTCTTACTCCTGTTTATTGTAGGGGAGCGTTGGGGCTGTGTAGATGTGGGTGGATATGGGGTTTGTGTGGAGGGGGAGGATGGCTGGGGTGGGGGTGGTGAACTGTATGCATAGCAGTGAGTGCGGTCGTGTCCGTCCGTCATCCCCCCCCCCCCCCC